TATCTTATATATGTCCATATGTCTTAAACCGCCTTTGTGGGCCCCATAGAGAGCAGCTTGGTGTACTCTCGCGAAAACGCGAATATCTCTCTATTCCGAGATCGTATCGATGAACCGTTTAATGCATTGGAAACTAGTCTCATAGATATTCAATTTGATAGGTAGATCACCCCATAATTCCAAGCACATTAGGAGAAAAATGCAGTAACATTTGACCTAAAGTTTAAGTAAAATTATAAACCTAAGTTGCGACAACTTTTATCGACTTTTGTTTCATAACTCGCTTGACTTCAAGACTTATGATGCGGATATTATATGATTCAAATACATTAAAACAAGACCTCTTGGGACAATTAATCACCTCTAGTGTTACCCGAAAATACGGGTTACAACATCCTTGATTCGTTTAACTTCAAATACTTGTTAACCACTCTTATACACCCTTGTATCGTCGTTTAAGACCAATAGGATTAACTTCTTATCATCTCAAAGATAATCTCTTCTTGGATTTACGTCGACTAACTTACGGCGTGATCTATGGTATGCGAATTTGGGTTGTAACACCGGGTCTATTATTCAGGGAGATGGGGAGATTGATGAAGATGTTGCACATCGTATTGGGGTGGGATGGATGAAATGGAGACTCGCTTCCGGTGTTTTGTATGACAAGAAGGTACCACAGAAACTTAAGGGTAAGTTCTACAGAGTGGTGGTTAGACCAACGGTGTTGTATGGGGCTGAGACACTGAGTGTTAGCAAGTCAAGATCGCTCATGTCCAGAAAATAAAGGTAGCAGAGATGAGGGTGTTCGGATGGATGTGTGGGCACACGAAGTTAGATAGGATCAGAAACGAGGTTATTCGCGACAAGGTGGGTGTGACCTCTATTGAGGATAAGATGCGGGAAGCACGGCTTAAGTGGTTTGATCGTGTGATGAGGAGGAACACAAACGCCCCGATGAGGAGGTGTGAGAGGTTGACATTGGAGGATTTACGGAGAGGTAGAGGTAGGCCGAAGAAGAGGTGGGGAGAGGTGATTAGGCAAGACATGGCGTAACTTCAGCTGACCGAGGACATGACCCTTGATAGGAAGGTATGAAGATCGAGGATTAGGGTAGTAGAGTAGGTAATCTAGAGTGTTCATAACAGTAGTATTGGCACGCAGTCTCGCTTTCTGTTGGTAGTAGGTTTTTATGACTAACCGTTATTTTCTTTCATTGTTGATCACCTTACTGTCTTGTTGTTTTTATTCTGTTTTTATATGGCGTTTTGGTATTGTCTCTTCTTGTCTGGTGCTTATGCTTTCCTGAGCCGAGGGTCTATTGGAAACAACCTTTCTACCCTCACAAGGTAGGGGTAAGGCTTGCGTACACACTACTCTCCCCAGACCCCACGGTGTGAGATAATATTGGGTATGTTGTTGTTGTTGTTGTTATTGTATTAAACACAAATTTTACAATTCCAAACCAGCACTAAATGCATGAATCTCACTTTCTTACAACTCTTTGACATGGCAAGTACAACCAATAAAAAGATTACATATCAGCCAAAACAAAAAGAGACATGTCAGAAATTTGAAAAAAAAAAGACAAAAAAGGAAAATATTTCATAACCCTTCTTTTCATCATATTCTTTCCTCGCCACTAACACCGCCACTGAGGCATTGTCGGGGCTGTCACTAAGTGCCAGAAAATGCCCCTTCTCCAGCACACCCTCCCCTCATCATCTCCCACCCATGTATCATCTTCTTCCATAAAACATAAATTAAAGGATGAAATAATTCTCATGCTTCCGAATCAAAGGAATTTCAATTTGATAGCTTTTTTTTTTTGTCAGTATTTTAAAAATGAGGCAAAGGGATCCATAACAGATGTTAGCATAAACTTGTTATGTCTTTAAACTGGCCTTATCAGCACATGGGCTATTGGGGGTTGACAGTTTGTGTTATGTATTTTTGTCCCCAGTTTTTGTAAGAAGGGTCTTGCATCAACTTGAATTTTTTGACTAATCTTATGAGCAATGGGCAGATAAAAGTAAGGATAAAAAAAATGGGGATGGTGTTTTGCCGGTCAGTGTCGCCTTCAAAAGCTGGTGACCTATTGGTGGTATTCATCAAGTAGCACACAGAAATCATGCAAAGGATTTATTTCGTAGTTTTCGACGGAGATACAGATTCCAAACCTGATTTCATTCTTTTAAAGAGCTGAAGGGATCGAGTAGCTCTAATCCATTTTCTCTGGCACAAAAATTGTTCAAGGAAGAACCTTTCTTTTCAGTTCTTTCTTCAACAAAAGAGAAAATAACAAGTCACAATTCACCTACTCTATTTCACTATTATTTCTCAGTTCATAGCAGTAGTGTAGTAGATGACTAGTGAGTAGTCATGAAGGGGAAGATGATGATGGAGGGGTTCTGTTGAAGAAATTAGGGAAGAGAGAGAAAAACAATTGAGTGATTCACACGCGTAGTGGCAAGTGAGAATCGCCCCTTATGCCACATTTGTACGAGGTGCTTAATAGACACATTTATTACATAGGTTAGGTGTCTAATAAGTTGCTGCCTCAGTTGAGGTGTCTAAATAAAAATTCATGATGGGTTGCCTGTGTATTTGGGCCAAAGAATAATCTCGTAAGGTCCCTCATACATAAAGAGGAAAAACAATTGAGATGATGATGGAGGGGATCGTTTGAGGAAATTAGGGAAGAGAGAGAGAAAAATAATTGAGTGATTCACGCACGTAGTGGCAAGTGAGAATCACCCCTTGTGCCACATTTGTATGAGGTACTTAATAGACACATTTAATACATAGGTTAGGTGTCTATACCGATGGCATCCTTATTGTCACAGTACAAGGAAAGTTTTCCTTTTTCAGATAGTCTCAATTCCTGTAGTAGCTTTTGTAGCCAAAGTAGTTCGCTAACACCCTGGGCCATAGCTCTATATTCTGCCTCCGCACTTGATCTAGCAACTATACTTTGCTTCTTGTTTCTCCAAGTAACCAAGTTTCCTCCAACGAGCGTACAGTAACCGGATGTTGATCTTCTGTCATCTATAGATCTAGCCCAATCCGCGCCTGTAAAGGCTTCTATTTGGAGGTGATCATATTTGGAGAAAAGTAGACCTTTCCCTGGAGCAGACTTCAGATACAGCAAAATGTGAAAGACATCTTGCATATGAGGATTTGGGGATCATGCATGAACTGACTCACCAAGCTAACTGAATAGGCTATGGTTGGTCTAGTGTGGGAGAGATAAATGAGTCTTCCGACCAACCTCTGATATCGCTCCTTATCAATTGATTCTCCAACTCCACTTTGTAACTTGTGATTGCTTTCAATTGGCGATTCTGCGGGTCTGCAGCCTGTCATACCGGTTTCTTTCAAGAGATCCATAATATACTTCCTTTGAGAAATAAAGATTCCTCTTTTGGATCTAGCAACCTCAATTCCCAAGAAGTACTACAATTTTCCTAGATCCTTATCTTAAATTCATGTGCCAACAACTTCTTCAATCGGGTCATCTCCTCTTTGTCATCTCTTGTCATAACTATGTCATCAACATAAACTATGAGATGAGTGAATTTACCCGTTTGATGTCTTATGAAGAGGGTGTGATCAGCATTGTTTTGTTGGTAACCGAAGGAGATCATTGCTTTGTTGAATCTATCAAACCAAGCTCCGGGTGTTTGCTTCAGTATATATAAGGCTTTCTTCAATCTGCATAGCTTTCCTTGACTCTGTGCAGTATCAAATCCAGGAGGAATCTCCATATACACCTCTTCTTCTAAGTCTCCGTGAAGAAATGTATTCTTTACATCAAACTGTTGCAAGTCCGAATCAAGATTAGCTGCACAAGATAAAAGAATTTTAATAGTGTTCATCTTAGCAACAGGAGCAAATGTCTCTTGATAATCCACTCCATAAGTCTGAGTGAATCCCTAAGCCACCAATCTTGCTTTAAATCTTTCAATTGAGCCATCAGCTTTGTGCTTCACCGTGAAGACCCATTTGCAGCCAACCAACTTCTTGTTTGGTGGTGAAGTGACAAGTTCCCAAGTCTTATTTTTTTATAAGTCCTTCATTTCTTCAATCATAACTTGCTTCCATTTAGGATCTGCAAAAGCTTTCCTCCAATTCTGGGGAATAGACACAGAAGAAATATACAAGGCAAAGGCTCTATAGGAAGGAGACAGAATTGTAGGAGACAAAGTTAGATAAAGGATGTTTGGTGGTGCAAGATCTGACTCGTTTTCTGTGAGCAATAGGCACATCTAACTCATTAGGAAATGCAGATAACTCACCAGTAGAAGAAGGTTCAGCTTCGCTAGATTGCATGATGGCTTCTTCTGCTTTATTTCTCCTTGAGTAAGTTTTCAAATCAGGCCTATCCAAACGCCCAATAGTCTCCCCCTGAATTCTTTCTCCAATTTCACTTTCCCCTATGAAAGTGTCATCAAGAAGTCCAGTAATGGAACTAGGTAGATTCACCTCTTCCTCCTTACTGCTCTCCTCCTGAAGAGGTGATGAGGTAATACTGAAATAGGGCTCAGATTCTTGAAAGGTAACATTCATGCTAACAAAAGATCTCCTAGAGGGAGGATGATAACATTTGTAACCTTTATGTGTCGGAGAATACCCAAGGAAAATAAACTTTATAGCTCTAGGATCAAGTTTCCTAGAATTTCTAGTGTGGACAAAGCAAACACACCCAAAGACCTTTAGAGCAACAATATATTCATTCTTACCCTTTAATGTTTCCAGATGACTTTGAAAATTGAAGGGTTTAAGTGGCATTCTGTTAATAAGATAGGCAGCCGCTAGAATAGCATCCCCCAGTAAGGTTTTGGTAGATACATAGTGAGCATAAGAGATCTTGCTACTTCTAACAGATGCCTATTTTTCTTTCAGTGGCCCCATTTTGTGCACTAGTGTAAGGATAACTAGTCTGATGGACTATCCCATTGGACTTCAAATAAGCACCAAATCTTTTATCCATGTATTCGCTGCCATTGTCAGTTCTCAAAATTTTTATTTTGGCATCAACCAGAGTACAAATCATCTTATGAAATGACTGAAAACAAGAGAAAACTTCACTTTTGGCTTTTAACAAATATACCCAAGTCATCCTAGTGCAACAATCAATGAAAGTAACAAACTATCGATTATCAGACAAAGAAACAGTTTGGGTAGGACCCCATAAATCATAATGAATAGTCATTAATGGAGTTGTGCTTCTATTATTACTCACAGGATAATAGTTTCTAGTATGCTTGGCATATTCACACGCATCACAGAACAAAGATTCAAATCGAGTCCTTGAAAATAAATCGGGATATAGATTCTTCAAAACAAAGAATGATGGATGTCCTAACCGTCTATGCCGCTGTATTATTTCTTGGTTGACATCCTTACGCTGTATTATTTCTTGGTTGACATTCTTACTTTCCCCAAAAAAGACTTGACTAGAGTTTTGAATTCCATCTAATATATACAAGTCAACACGTAATCTACAACTGCCAATCCTTTTCCCTAAAAAACACAATGATCGGGAAAGAACTGAATTTTACAGTTTAGAGCTTTGGTGATGGCACTAACAGATAAAAGATTGACAGGGAACTAAGGGAAATGAGCACAAATGATAGTTTAATATTAGGAGTACAAATGACAGAACATGTTCGAGAGATAGGTGTTAAAAAACCATTGGTTATTTTAACATTATCTACTTTGGGGCACGAAGAATAGTTTTGAATGCCTTTAGAAGAGCCTATCATGTGTCTATTTGCACTAGAATCAACAATCCAAGAATTAAGATGAGCAACAAAGGCAGTACATGATTACACATGATTGGATATGGAAACATTGGCGGAGTCAAGTTTGGCTAGGAGGCGACGGAGAAGCTGAATTTTATCCGAAGACAAGATTTCTCCAGAAACCGTCTCCTTGAATGTCTACATATTTCTGTCTTGCCCAATCAGAAGGAAATCTGAAGAAAATTGCTCAAAAATAATCTGCCTCGCTGGAAACCAAATCTGTCTCGAGCGAACCTTAGCTCCGGTGAACAGAAAAATCAAAACTGGTAGGGATAGGCTCGGAATGTTCCAGCGACCCTAATAAAAAAGAAAATTTCAAAAACAAAACTAACCAGAAGGAGTTTGTGTTGCGAAAAGCCACCAAGAAAGAGAAAAACTCGACCTCTTTGATAAAAACGGAACCCTAGTACTGCGAGAGAGATCACTCACCTCAAAAAGGCAGCAATGGCTCTGATACCATGTAGATTTTGAGAAGAAGAAAAGGCTTCTTGTATTTCTGTGTGTGTTTACATCCCATGGGCAAGGAAATTTATACAAAGCTCCTAATGCTAATTAAGGAAAATAAAATAAATCTATACAATCATTCCAGCTACCAAATCAAATCAAATCAAATCAAAATAAAATCAGAACTCCTAAATATAATCAAATCTCCTGAAATCATGTTAATCAACACTCCTAAACCAAATCTCCTTAAATCATGCTAATCAACACTAAGTTTAAAAAAGAAAGAGAGAAAGAGTTTTGAGACTTGTAGTCTTAAATATGCTACTCACTTTGTCTAATTTATAATATGCGGTTCGGATTTCGAGAGTCAAATAAGTTTTTCTTTAACCGCGATCTTTTCATATGCTTTTTAAATATTTTGAATTGTTAGTACTTTTTATGTAGTTTCCAAATATGTAAAATTTATCTCAAAAAACTTAAAGATTCTATGTCTGAATTTGCGGGCAAAATTAAGACGTTTGAATCTTGAAATTCAAACTGAATTACATAAATTAGGATGTAGCGAGAACAACATTTGTAGGGCTATAACATGTTGAAAATCTGTATGGCTACAATATTTATGAAAATTGCAGTCTTAAACTTATCATAATATTGTTGTCGCTATAAAAATTTGTCATCAAGTGTAAAATGAGAAGCTTCAATTAAATTATTTTTAAACTTAGGTTTTAACAAACTACTAAAAAGAAATAGGGTTCTAATTAACGTTGGTTTAGGACCAGAGTGAGTACTAATTAACGTTGTTGCATCAAATCCTTAATTGAGTTATACTCATAGTGATCATTTGGTTCACCAACAAGTTATACTGGGGCTATAATGTGGAGATTCTAGTACAAAATTAAATAATAATGGGATTATTTAGTGGATATAAGTTTTTGATAGATGGTTGGTTTATTGAACTAACAATGGGATATACAAAATTACCAAAAAAAAAAACATTGGGGTATACAACATATAATATAAAACATGTGTTTTGTTTTACACGATATAAACTTGGATAAATTTGATCTTCAACTTTAACCTTCGCCTTCTTAAAAGACTTTGGGAAAGGAAATTTAGAAGAGCATATTTGATATTTGGTCATTTTATCCAGGTCAGCTAATCTGGGATTGTTGTCCCACATTGAATGTGATAAAAACATAATACCAAAGCCGTGATTTACTTGAATTGAGCTTAAATAAAGAAGGATCAAAATTTTAATTAAATCAAACACTACGATAACACATTTTATCTCAGCATTGTTATCCTTATCTTAATTCACATTTTATATCAGGATTGTTATCCATATCCTAATTCCAAACAATTCTTTAAACAATCGTCAGTTATCTAAGGGAATGGGGAGATTGATGAGAATGTCAAACACCGTATAGGGGCAGGGTGGATGAAATGGGGCAGGGTGGATGAAATGGAGGTTAGCATCCGGCGTCTTGTGTGATAAGAATGTGCCACCAAAACTTAAAGGTAAATTCTACAAAGCGGTGGTTAGACCGACTATGTTGTATGGTGCAGAGTGCTGGCCAGTCAAGAACTCCCATATCCAGAAGATGAACTTAGCTGAAATGAGGATGTTGAGATGGATGTGCGGGCACACTGGTTGGATAAAGTTAGGAATGAGAATATTCAGGCGAAGGTGGGTGTGGCCTCCATAGAGGACAAGATGCGAGAAGCGAGGCTAAGATGGTTCGGGCAAGTGAAGAGAAGAAGCCTAGATGCCCAGTAAGGAGGTTTGGACAGTTGGCTTTGGCGGGATTGAGAAGAGGTAAAGAACGACCTAAAAAGTATTGGGGAGGGGTGATCAGGCAGGACATGGCGCGACTTCAACTTACTGAGAACAAGGCCCTTGATAGCAGGGTGTGGAGGACGAGAATTAGAATAAAAGGGTAGTAGGTAGTCGGGCATTTTTCTGATCCATATTGGGTTGTTTAGGGCTAGTTTGTTAATATCTTGTCACGATTCTTAGATTGCTAGTATTATGGTTGTTTCCTTACTATCTTCCTCTTCGGTTTTCTCGGATCTTGTCGTGGTTACTGCTTGTTGCTATGGCTAGTGTTATTGCTTTCTTCCATCTATTTTTCTGGTTCTTACATCGTTGTTATCATTTTTCTGGCTTTTACTGTTGATATTTGATTGTTTTCTATTCTTCCTCTCGAGTCGATGGTCTTTCGGAAACAACCTCTCTACCTCCACAGGGTAGGGGTAAGATGTGCATACACACTACCTTTTCCATACCCCACTTGTGGGATTTCACTGGGTTTGATTGATTGATTGATCTTCAAATGATAGTCAATTATCCATGCAACTTAAAAGAGAATGCACTCTAAAATTTCCTAATAGCTGCAGTACTCTCTGCAAAATAGCCAACATTCAAGGAAATGGACACTAACCTGTTCGACTATAATGTTCAAGCACTGCAAAGAAGCGACAGCCTCTTCAAGCACTGATGATGCAATATCTATTGCTGCTGTAGAGCAGTAAGAGGTCCTGTCAATTGCAACCCATGTTTCTTTTTCATACCTGTACAATTTTATTTTTTCTTTTTTGTGTTATAAATTACAGATTAGAAACTCCAAACACAGATATATCATTGAAGAGAAACTCCAAATATAAAATATCAGGGAAACTTTCCTGACATACTTTAACACTCTCTTCAAAAGGTGAAATTCAACTTCAATGCCTATATTCATGACATGAATATATAGATAAGAATAAGATAAATAATATCTTTCAACTCTTGTTCATGGCTCAATAGGAATTGTAAGGTAACATCTAGCTCAGTAAGTGTTTGCTATATGTCCTATGCCTTTGGGAATAATCCAAACAGCTATGAGATCATTCGCCTTCGTGAGACTTTGCCGGCAGCCACATCATGAGGCTGCCATCATAAGGCAATGAAGGTGCATAGGGATGATTATATAGCCAAGGCATAGAGACAACACTACTTTAGCTTTTGCCCCCCTTACTTGTACTCTTCCTTTGTGGTTTTTTTTCTTTTTATTATTAATAAAAATTGCTACTAGGCAGCCCGCCTAGTAGTATAATTTGCTTTAAAAAAAACCTCTTGAGCAATAGACATTAATAACATACCAAGCCGAATTCGTCTTCTAACATCTTAGAGAATCTACGAAGCACATCTCTTGGACAATATTGCCATGCTTTACCAGGTTCAGTTAACATGTCAACCAAGACCATTTCCTGGTTTCTTGCCCTGGACCAAAGGGTGCACACAAACGTGATTGCAAATATGTGAAATCTGGAAACGACAAAATTGTTTAAAGTTACACAGAAACTTGATGACCTAAATGAACAGTCGCCACACCAAGGTCCATAATCATAGACAAAATAGAACAATGAAAGAGTTGGACATCAGAGAGTATTCAACTTTAAACTACTCAACTACAAAATAATTTAGTTTGATGCTATTTTCTGTCCGCCCTGCAAGTCGTCAAGAATGAGATTTCACAAGATTAACAATGGACGTTTCTAAGTTGTAATGTTTAGCTGAAAGAGTAAATTAGAGAACCTGAGGAAATTTGGGAATCCGGAACCAGCTCAGTTGATTGTATTGAACCTTGTTCAAAAGGTTTCATATATACCCATGTGTCCAGAAAATGGCAAGTAATAAAAGAACCTCTAAGTGATTATAACCTTCAACTGATGTAACCCGTAATATTCATTTAATTAACGGGAAAAAAATCACCTAACTAACTTGAGACATTATCATTTATTCTTCAATGCTCCCTATATCTGGGGAGAGAGACCAAGTTGATCGCTTCCAGCATGTAAAAAGAACTTCATGCTGGACCATTCCCAGTGCCTTTGTTAGTAAATCTACCTGTTTCAACTTAGAAGTATTTGCTCAGTCCTGACTACTCATTGATAATTTGTTTTCAGTATAAAACGATAATCAATCTCTATATGTTTTGTTTGTTCATGAACTATAGGATTTGCAACTATCTCAATTGCAGCTTTACTATCACAGTGTAAGGTTACAGGAAGTCGCATATCGGCATTAACTCCTTAAGAAAGCCAACTAACAAATCTGGGCTTGCCTACGACTAGGAAAGATAGAGATTGCATCTTTGTGGTTATTGATAGATTTTCCATGATGGCTAATTATATAACTTGTCATAAGAGTGATGATGCTTCTCGTGTTGCTACTATATTTGTTGATCATGTGCTTAAATTGTATGGAATCCTCAAAGCCAGCCTCGACCCCAAAGGTTATACTCAGATATTTGGACTTGATTACAGTGATACTTTCTCTCCCGTGGCTAAAATGGCATATGTCCGCCTTTTTCTATCCATGATTGTTGTTCGCCATTGGCCTCTCTATCAGTTGGATATTAAGAATCATTTTCTCCACAGTAACCTTGAGGATGAAGTTTATATGTAGCAACCACCTGATGTTGTTGCTCAGGGGAGTCTAGTGGCCTTGTATGTCGGTTGCACCGGTCACTCTATGGTTTGAAATAATCATCTCGAGCATGGTTTGGTAAGTTTAGCACAGTTGTTCAGGAGTTTGGCATGATGCATGGTGAAGCTGATCATTCAGTATTTTATCAACATTCTGCATAAAATTTGTGAATATATTTGGTGGTGTATATTGATGATATAGCTATTACCGGGAATGATCAGGATGGTATTACTAGTTTGAAGCAACGTCTCTTTCAGCACTTCCAGACCAAGGATCTGGGCAGATTGAAGTAATTTCTAGGTACTGAGGTCGCTCAATCTAGCTCTGGTAGTGTTATTTCACAGCAGAAGTATGCTTAGACATTTTTGAGAAGACAGAAGTGACAGGTTGTAGACCCACTGACACTCTTATGGATCTGAATGCTAAATTTCTGCAAGGACAGAGGGAGCCTCTTAGCAATCCTGCAAGATATAGGCGACTCGTTGGTAAGTTGAGTTACCTCATAGTGACCAGACCTGATATTTCCTTTCCTGTGAATGTTGTAAGTCAGTTTATGGATTTTCCCTGAGATAGTCATTGGGATGCAGTTGTCCGAATTCTTCTATATATAAAATCAGCACCAGGCAAAGGACTATTGTTCGAGGATCGAGGTCATGAGCAGATTGTGGGGTACACAGATGCTGATTTGGCAGGATCGCCTTTTAATAAACGTTCTACGTCTGGATATTGTGTATTATTAGGACCACAAAGGACTAATGTTCAAGGATCGAGGTTATTCAAGAAGTACTTTCTTTTTAGTGAAATATCGTTCTGAGTTATTTTCTATATTCCAGAATTCTTATACTGAAATAAAAAATCAATTTATTGTTTCTATTTGCACATTTCGTAATAGTAATGCCTTAGAATACTTATCCTTGCAGTTTCAGTAGTTTGTGACTTCTCAAGGAATTATTCCTCAGACATCTTGTCCATATAATTTTCAGCAAAATAGGGTAGCACAGAAAAAGAATAGGCACCTCATTGAGATTGCTCACACACTTCTTATTCAGTCCCATGTTTCGTTGCGTTTTTTGGGCGATGCAGTTCTCACAGCTTATTATTTGATTAAACGGATGCCTTCATCTTCCATCGAGAATCAGATTCCACATTCAATATTGTTCCCTAAGTCACCCTTATAGTTTCTTCCTCCTCGTGTTTTGGAGAGCACATATTTTGTTCATAACTTAGCTCCTAGAAAGATATTAGCACCTCGTGCTCTCAAGTATGTCTTCCTTGGTTATTCTCGGGTTCAAAAGGGACATTGTTGTTACTCACCTGATCTTCTTATGTCAACTGATGTCACATTGTTTGAGTCTTGATCTTACTTTAATTCTTTTGATCGTCTTGATATATTTGAGGTCTTACCAACACCTACTTTTGAGGAGACTACTACTGCTCCTCCTACATCCCCGGCCACGGGACCATCACTCTTGACTTATCATCGTTGTCCACGTCTAGCGTCAGGCCCGGATGATTCAGGTCCTACATCAGATTCTGCACCTATTGCGTACTTGTCTTCTCCTAGTCCATCGATTACACTTCGGAAAGGTATACGATCCACACTTAATCCTAATCATTATTAAGTCGGTTTAAGTTATTATCATCTGTCATCATCCCATTAAACTTTTGTACATGTTTGTCCTTTGTTTTTGTAGCTTTTCATCCAAAAGTCTACATGTGAAGCACTATATCTCATCCAGGATGACAATGGGCAATGACCGATGAGATGTCTGCTTTGCATGCGAGTGGTACTTGGGAGCTCACCCCTCTTCCTTGAGGTAAGTCTAATGTTGGTTGTTGCTAGGTTCATGCAGTCAAATTTGGCCCGGATGACCAAATTGATCAGCTTAAGTCATGCCTTGCTGCCAAAGGGTATACTCAGATATTTGGATTTGATTACAATGATATTTTCTCTCATGTGGCTAAAATAGCATACGTCCGCCTTTTCTATTCATGGTTGTTCGTCATTGGCCTCTTTATAAATTGGACATTAAGGATGTTTTTCTCCACGGTGATCTTAAGAATGAAATTTAGATGGAGCAACCACCTGGTTTTGTCGCTCAAGGGGAGTCTAATTGTCTTGTATATGGATAGAGCATGTCACTGACAGCAACCTGAAGTAAGGAAGACAAGTTGTATCTATATTGCATTTCTAAATCCCATGTGGAGGCTTAGACCAAGAAGTGGCCCACAAACTGAGTGGAAGCACTCACCAGATCTTTCAACCTCCTTATAGTCATGGCAAACTACCATTCACTTAATAATTTCAGAGCTTTGGATAGCACATAAGTAAGAAGAAGAAGTTTACCATTCCAAACAAACTCAGATCTCATGGCCCAAATTTTCCAAAGGACTTCACAGGTCTGCGGATCCTTCAGAGAATCAGAGTCATTAACAACGCGACTAAGAAACCTAGTCATACTAATGCCTTCCACATCCTACTCATACTGCCATGCCACGCAAACCTCCCCCCACCCTCCACCCCCACGTTCAAGGAATACATGTTCACTATTTTCCGTCAAGCCACAAAAATGACACCCTGCTTTAACATTAATGCCTCTAGCTAGTAAATTGGACTTAGCAAGCAGAATATTTTGAGCTAATATCCATAAAGAATCTTTAATTTTTTGGAGGTAGCTTCAACTTCATTGAGCTAAAAATGGGATATACGGAATATCCCGTTGATGACAAGATGCGGGAAGCGAGGCTTAGATGGTTCGGACATGTTCAAAGGAGAAGCCCAAATGCTCCGGTACGGAGGTGTGAGCGGCTGGTTGTGGAGGGCACGAGAAGAGGTAGAGGGCAGCCTAAGAAGTATTGGGGAGAGGTGATCAGACAGGATATGGCGAGGCTCCAGATTTCCGAGGACATGACACTTGATAGGAATATGTGGAGGTCGAGTATTAGAGTTGTAGGTTAGGATGTAGTTGAGTCTTGACTTACTTCGTACCATTGTGGGACTGGCCACGTATGGTTTTTGTCTAGGGTAGCTAGTGACAATGTTGTGTTTTACTACTTCGCTTTTCAGTGCGTATTTCTTGGTTACTCGAGAACGCATAAGGGGTATCGATGCTATTCTTTTGATCTCCAGCGGTACCTTATGTTTGCTGATGTTACCTTCTTTGAAACCCCATCATACTTCATAGGTCCAGGTAATCACTTAGATATTTCTGAGGTGCTACCAGTTTTATCTTTTGGAGATTTAGTCACTATATCCCATTCATCTTCCTTTACAACTCTAGCTCCACCACCTACAGCTCCAGTTGTAGCTCCACCACCTATAGCTCCAGTTCCACCACCTAGTCAAGTTCAACCTTCTGCAGCTCCACCATTCTTGACTTATCATCGTCGTCCACGTCCAACATCATGCCCAGGTGATTCGTGTCCTGCATCAGATTATGCACCTACTGCGGACTTGTCTCCTCTTAGTCAACCAATTGCACTCCTCAAAGGTGTACGATCCACACTTAATCCTAATCCCCATTATGTCGGTTTAAGTTATCATCATCTGTCATCACCTCATTATGCTTTTATATCATCTTTGTCCACTGTTTCTATCCCTAAGTCTACAGGTGATACACTATCTCATCTAGGATGGCGACATGCTATGATTGATGATATGTCTGCTTTACATGTGAGTGGCACTTGGGAGCTTGTTACTCTTCCTTCAGGTAAGTTTAGTGTTGGTTGTCGTTGGATTTATGCAGTCAAGGTCGGCCCGGATGGCTAGGTTGATCGGCTTAAGGATACAC